AAAAAAAAAAAATTGAATCTAAGAAAGCAATTTTTTGTCAAATTATCTCTTGCTCAGCATACCTTTCCAGACGCGTAGTTCAACGTACTTGTGAAAAAATTTTAAAGATATTTAGTTTATCTAAAGGTACATGCCTTTTATTTTTGGATAATTGTTAAATAACTTACTTTCAAATCATTTATATTGATGTGACAAAAATGGTGGTACAGAAACAAAAGAAGTGACATTTACTTTTTTAAAAGAAGGCTTATGCCGCGCGAAATCTTTCCCTTCACAAAAAAATAAAATTTGGTGTCTTTTGGCGGTGTCAAAAGTTACAATTATGAAAAGGATGTGAGACTGATAATAGATCATTGTTGTTAAATTAACACTATACATTTTTTAGTGCTGAGATCATTGTTAAATGCAGTATTTGCTTATGAAACTGAAAGAAGACTATCATCGAAATCAAGTAGATTTTGACTGTTAAGAGTCAAAGTGGCTTTTTACCCTGTTAGGATTTTGTTTGCTGTCGACAAAATAATAGCACAAATTTCTTGAGTTATTTTCTATAACTAAATAATACATTTTATTGTCAGAGATCATGATCTTCGTGGAAAGTACACCAAATTTTGGCATTTTATAAAACGCAAAGTCTTACACAAAAAATGGCTTTTTCTAAAAAAAACGTGAACAACTCTTTACCTCGTTTTATGAATTATTGCTTCTTTGGGTTTAAATCATTCATTTAACAAAGTTAAGTCTTCTAACATTTGTTTGAGCAGCCTGTCAAATAAACCAAAACTTATGAATACAGCTACAGTTTAGCTAGATTACTATCCTAGGAAAGTAGGTGCGTGAAGTAAGAAATTGACAATTTTTGCAAATTTTGTGGGATGAAACTTGGCGGAGAAATTTTTGTATTTTGACTTAAAAAAGCAAGCGGTTTAGCATGGAAGAGTTTTGGAAGTTTTCTCGATGCAAAGTAAATCTTTACACTTTTAGCGAAAATAGCTGAATATGACTGCAAAAAAACGGTCACATTGGCTACTTGTAAAGTACTATTAGATCTTTCCGAGGTAAGAGTTTGCTTTTGGCAGATCCAGATGAAATTACTGAATATCTTAATACGATTAATAATATGGTAATCGAATATAAATATTGCTACAAAGAGTCTTAAACTTTTTCAAAACTAGTAAATTATTGGAAGATGAAATATTTGAACAACTGTTCATTTAAATGCAGTTTACAGGTGATTGGGTATCGTTTCAGTAAGTCCCATTTCACTCAAACTTTACATTATTACTTGTAGCATCATTACTACTTATTTTCTATAACTAAATAATACTTTTCATTGTCAGAGACCCTGATGAAACTGTTGATTTGAAAGATTTGGCAAGCGATATCTAACAAGCTTTTTGTTCAGATGATGAGGGAGAATGCCCCAGATATCCCTTGCAGCTGTATATCGTGCCTCCTAGACTAGTATCTGTCAATCACGGGTCATTTAAATATTGTTTGTTCTTACTAAGCGTAAGTTAGGTCTTGAAATGTTCGAACATGTTTTTGTTTTTGCTGCTTTTATCTGTTGTATTTTTTGTACTTCTTCGAACTAGAAGAACTACAAGTTGACAACCTTCATTAATTCTAATGTCCAGTTCTCCCCTCACATTCGTAAACTTTAGGCTGACAATATTTTGGAGAATCCAAATAAGTACGACCCTATTAGTCAAGGTTATGCTGTCGATTTTGACACTGCTGCACAATACTGCTTGCGGAAGTTCAATGGTCATTTGCTGTCAATTCAAGATGCTGAAGAACTTATGTTTATTAGCAGTAAGCAACCATTATCTGTTAGTATAACCTGCCTTTCATTACTGCTTTCTGGAAATTTTTCTGATATTCCGTTAATGGAAGAAACTTAATTTTTCAAATTTAGCTTAGTGAAGTTGTAAAGTCATTAGTTAGTTGATGCACTAAAGTGTTGCCCGTATTAGCAACCGGGTGAGACAGCTGAATTTTTTCATGTTGGAAATGGGAACGCTGTACCACTGATTTAGACCTATGGGTAGTAAGCAACTATTTTTTATCTTTGCTAGTTACTTCCCGACGTTGCATATAAAAATTCCTTTTGAGCAGTTTCAGACTCCCTGTACCATTGCGTTGACGAAGGATGTGTCGCCAAGTTAGAATTATTACTTGGTTTACAATCCCGTGGTAAAACTGCAGCTGCGTTTTTTGCTGATGGAACAAAAACTGAATACGTCCTTTCAAGGGTAGAAATTTTTCACAATACGACAGAAAGATTATGCTTCTTCCTTTCGTCATTCTATCGCTTCTCCATCGGTAAGAAACAACAGGATTTATTTCTTTATACGAAAGAACACAACTGCTCACTTATCCAACTCAATCACCTGTTTCGTAACCACTATAAACTTTTTTGAAATGATCTGGTTTAGTTACTATAGTGGCAAAGAAATGTGGATGGTATTATTACTTTGTCTGTAAAGCGCCAGTGAAATATGAGCTAGAACACAAAAAGTTGCCTCGGTATAATGTTCTAGATGTACGTATTGACGATCATTACTGTTTTTTAAAACAGTGTTCGTGTACCGTCTCCCTAACACTACGCTGAAAACTGCTGAAATAACCGTCAGTATAGTTCACAGCTATAAACTGAAATGTCGGTATAAATAGAAAATGGCCGTCGAAGTTAGGATAATGTGATGCTATTTGCTAAATTCTTGTCTTTTGAGGTACTTAATGACCAAAATTAACAAAATTATATTGTTTACCCTTCGGCATTGATACTTTTCTAAGCTTGAAAGAATATCATCGTTGAATTTCCCAACAGTAGTTTATTAGCGGCTGTCTTCCTAATACAAAATTTTATTTCAGGTGTCAAATCGAACCGTTACCGTGAAGCATTATAGTGAGGCAGATTAGCCCTTTTATTTTTGGGAAGATATCTCTGTTTAAACTCATTTTTTTTTTTTGTTTTAAGCCGTTGAGGAGGTCAAAAAGGGAATTGTTTTACTAATAATAACGACGAACAAACTTATGTAGTTGATTTTTTTTTCAACTGAAAAAAATGGATGCTTCTCCAATTATCAATTCGCTTGGCATAACAAATCTTTGAAGCTCAAATTGCAGAAGTAACTGATAAATGCAACGGACCGCGACATTTTAATTATACTAGTGAACCGAAGTATATTACAGCTACTGGAAATAAGAAGTCATACTGCCTTTATGACGTTGAAGTAAGTTGAGAGAAATATTTTTTGAACACTTTTAGAGTTGAAGTAACTAATTATTTACTTTAAGGACCATCAGTTTCTTCAGATATAGAAGTTAATACTCAGATTATATTTATAAATTGTTTTCATTACACATTATTACCTTTACAGCCTAGCCTTTCACTGCGCTTTTTGCATAATGATAGCGCAAATAAATTAATTAAAAACTACCAAAGAAATCGTGACAAATTCGCAGAGTTAATTCATTCTGACGCTTACATCCTGCCGTCTTAGCGCTGGAAAAGAAGTTAAAGTTTGATTAAATATGAAAACACTCAATGAAATACAGTTGAGATTTTGCATCTTAATAAGAAAGACTTTGAAAAATGTCGCAAGAAACACGGACATTAGAAGCATTGAAAGTTTGAAAAATACAAAGTGAATAGCCATCATCTCTGCCCTCCTCTCCCCCTCCCCTCTCTCCCGCTGCACTGACAAGAAATGCTAAAGAAATATCATTAAACGTACAGGCGTAGTTAGCGTAAGAAAACTGGTTTACCTCTGTCAAGGGATTAAGCCGGATAAACACTATTTTTTGTGAATCTGATCTACAGTTGAAAACTTGTTGTAAAAAAAACTAGATAATTTCGTCTGACTTTTTGAAGACAATAACCGTAGAGATATTTTTTACAGTAGTGTAGCACGGCAGACAAAACTACATTTGACCCTCGCCTTTTTTCACACCTTGCTAACTAAAAGGTAGTCCAAATGTCCAGTTTTTCAGAAAAATGTAGCCATGCCCATGAAAGAAAAAAAAAAATCTCTTTTGAAAGTATCGGGAAGTGTCAATTCCGAGAACAGTACGTTCTCCATCCTCCCTTTTGCTAATTAGCAAAGAGGCACAAAATATCAAATCTGAAGTCCAATTTGACACCAAATTAATCTTTAGGTCAACAATCAGCAAAATATTACTTCCTATACTGCTGCCAGTAGCTTTTGCAGAAAAACCTTTGACGGCTTTCTGTTATCAATTGTTGATGCCGAGGAAGAAGTTTTCCTGCAAGGTAAAATAAAAAGCAATTTAAATCATTTTGAACAGCAACTATGGGATTATCACTGGTGAGAATTGACCAAGAATTACATAAACCGAAGAAACCCAACGATCATAAGAACAATGCAAGCTACTTGTTTAAGATACGCTGTTTAATTCATTCGATGCTGAAACTGAAAAATATTATGATATGAGACTTCTTGGTCTCCGTCGAAGACGTCGAACAGGAGGCAAAGGTTATACGTTTACCGATGGAACTGACCCTACCTATGCTTTGGCCCGATCTGACAACGACAAAATTACTTTCGATGCTGCCGGAAATTGTTTTGTTTTTATTCGCTCCTATAAGCAACAAAGAGGTACGCAAGACTGAGTTTAAGAACTTCTAAATTAAGGCGTGAACTATCTGATCGTTACGATATTAAAGTTTTAAAAATACCAATGAACAACAACTTGAATTGTATGTCGTTTTTGGTTCCTCTGTTCCGCTCATCACAAGTTTAGCTTCGAATCATTATTAAATATACAGCTTTGCCATAATAATGTTTATTTTAAAGCAGTTAGGTAACTCAAGTAATCTAAATTTTAAAATGTATTATTTGGATACAGGAGTGAATCTGCCAACTCTTACACATACCAGCAAGTAGTAAGATACAAAGGGCTATCGCTTGAGGAATTTCACTGTTGAGAGCGCTAAGAGAAAGAGCGAGAGACAAGGCTTTTTTACTACTGACTGACAACTTTTCTATATCAACCAATACAGTGTCCTCAAAATTTGTCTACCTTTTCAAATATCAAAAACGTGAAAATACACATATTGACTTTTTGAGATCAGAACTAAACAATATTTCTCTTAAGCAGTGAAGTTTCTAAACCGTTTATCTGTTCAGTACTTCAAGATGAAATTTCTACAAACTGATAGCTGTACTAAAAAAAGGAAGAAAACATGCATTACTTTTCTTTCAGTGATTTCCTTTTTAGTCAATTGCTGATCAGGGTTAAGACCACTAAA